CCTATTTTCAGTTTTAGTTCCTTGCAACATTTTTTGTGTGAGTGTTAGTTGTACACTTTTAATCGCTTATTTTATTGGGTTAGTTAGAACCAACTCCCGTTTAATCAAATACTATATTTGCAATTTGTAAACTTAAGCTAAAATTTGTGATGTTCTTGAAATATACTAAAATGATTATACATGTGTATTATTTTATAGATGGCTGGAATTCAAAGTGGGTTGCCATTACCATCGTTCATGGAGATAGTAGCACAATTAGTGGTTTACTTCTTGATAGAAGACTACACAAACTACTGGATCCATAGATGGTTGCATTGCAAATGGGTTTATGAAAATATTCATCGAATCCATCACGAATACACATCTCCGATCGGATATGCATCCCCGTATGCACATTGGGCCGAAATCTTGATTCTCGGGATCCCGACGTTTCTTGGACCAGCCATTATTCCTGGCCACATCCTCACCTTTTGGTTATGGATAACTTTACGCCAAATCGAGGCGATTGAGACTCATAGCGGGTAAAACAAAGAATTCAAATAATAATTTTGTTCAACTATATAAAAAAAAATACTGCAATTACCATTTGCAAAAATAAAATTACGGTTTTGTAAAAATTATTTTTGTAGATATGATTTACCATGGACTATTACAAAATATATTCCATTTTACGGTGGAGCAGAATATCATGATTATCATCACTACGTTGGAAGACAAAGCCAAAGCAATTTTGCTTCAGTTTTCACTTACTGCGATTACATCTATGGAACTGACAAAGTGAGTGTTGTTCGAACTTTAGATAAACCGATTCTTGTTGCTTATTTTTTTCGGTTTTTTGTTAAGAGTTATTAAACTAATTATTGACAAGTTTTGTTATTATATTTTATTTTTCTATCCTAAGGGCTATCGAATTCATAAGAAGCTTCTTCGTCACAAGGTTAATATTCTCAAATTCAGATTCATAGTGGTACCTATTTATATTTTTTTTGGTGAACAGTGGTACCTATTTATATTAATTCATATATGTGGTTCTATCCATATTTTATTTCATTTATGAAAGTTTTTTATTTATTTTGTTGCTTTTAAGGGTGTGTATTTTGTACGTTGTAGGTTAAAAAGGAAACGGAACCGAAGAAAGGAGCGAAATACTTTTTAGCTATAAATTCGAAGGTGATTGAAAAGTTGTAGTCCATCGATAAAATAAGATGATTTTATATGATCCCTATATATTTAATGTGGATTAATGTGTAATAATATGTGACGCAAGTTATTAAAAAAAAAAAACACAATCTACAGTAGTTGTAGTATTATTTTTCTTATATACATACTTGTCTAAATCTTACCTCCACTTCTTCTTACGAATAGAGATGTGGCCTCTCCGTTTAAGGTAAAAATCCCCCAATCACATATGTGAATGTGTGTGAATTTTTTTTTTTTTTTTATCAAACAATCACCATTATATTAAATCAAGTTGTTACCGATTTGGTGGTTTTCCTGACAGGCTACCCCAAACGAAAATGTCTGACTTACATGGGAAAATACATAACCTCGTGCTCGATCTCCCTTTGCAAGAGAGTCGGCCCGGACATTACTACTACGTGGGATATGAACTAAGTTAAAAGATACAAAATATTGTCTAAACAGAGTGAACCAGTCAAGCTCCGCACTGAAAATTGGCCAATCAAGTGGATGCGTAGTCATAGAAACCAGGCTTGCATAGTCCGTCTCAATCCTCACTGAGTATAGTCTCCTCTCGCTTAGA